TATGGGAACAACCTCGTGGAGAGAACTTACTAGATGGTGGAGCACCTTTCTACACAGTTTACAGGACAGCAGATGGGGACTACATGGCTATTGGAGCACTAGAACCCCAGTTCTATCAGGAGCTGATTAAAGGTAAGTAACTTTCATGTACCTCCCACTGTCCTCCTTTTTCTGTGGATGTTCTTTAGCCTCTATTTGGGGGCCTTTTGAAATTCATGATATCTTTGATTACGTATCCACTTTATAATTAACCTAATTATAGCCATCATAATATTGTGGGGCATTTCCCCCACCTTTTAAATTGACGGGTAATTTTACAATTCTATAAAATAGCTCAGGGTTTTAAAAAATAATCTTTTTTGTGGGAGTTTAATGTTTTTGTTACATGTCATACTCAGTAGTGTTGGCTATTTATCTTGCCCTTGTGTGCTCTTATCTTACTCTTCCCTAGAAGAATAAGGTATGCTAGTTCTACCTGTTCCTGTTCCTTGATAGCTGTCCCTCATGGCAGGCACTTCAGAGTCACGGGTCACCAGAGCACAGATGGGACTTTGGTGAATGAGATTTTATTGGAATATGTTACTATCACTTGATGCTTCTGCAGTTTAACTTTCTCTCAGATTCTTGTCTTATTGGTGTGCTACCACAAGTTAGCGAGAAAATTTGCAATCCCTTCTCCCCTAATTAAATGAACTCAAGTTATTTTGTTCCTGTGAAATGTTTGAACTTAAACTTCACTTTACAGATAATTTAGTATCTAAGAAGTTTTAGAATATACTCAAGGGGTGTGACAAGCTGGTCACAGTACATTTATGTTTTAAGTTTAGAGTTTCACTGTTATGTTTGGTAACTTTTCAGATGTAATGTACTAAAAGTTATTTGCATACGACTAAAATATTGTTTTTGCAAGCATCAGAAAGCATTTTATGATCAACTATGTTAACTTCACCAACTTAAATATAGTTGGAAGCACTGTAGAAGAGAATGGTTTACCTAAATCACATAGGATGCCTTTCTGTCCAGAAATTAAAACTAAGAATAGAAAGTGCTAATTCAAAATTCTGGACAGAGCAATGCTGTACAAAGGACTGAATGGTGGGAACAACATTTTTACCATGGTGGTTGCAGGGCTCTGGAAAGCATCAGGGACATAGCATAGTGGAGTTTATACCTTAGAAAAACCTTGTATATTTATGCATTGTCTATAGAGAACTTAAATGTAATAATAAAATTGACCAAACTTCAGCCAGCTTTTTTTTATCACCATGCACAGGCACTTCTAAATGACAGTGATAAAACATACACACTGAAAAAAAAATGTGTTGGTTTGAGCTCTAAACAATTGCTGCAGCTACTGGTGCGTTCTAATAACATATGTAAGCTTTATTAGCACATTTTTTATTATTCTTTAGTAAACATTGCATAGAAGTTATTCAAAGAACTCCCAATTGTACAGTCTCACCCAAATGTTTTCTTTTAAGAGTTTCATAGTTTCTGCTCACATTTAGGTCTGTGATCCATTTTGAGTTTTAATTTTTGTGTATGAGGTGAGGTATGGGTCCAACTTCACTCTTTTGCATACTCATATGGCTGTCCAGTTTTCCTAGCACCATTTGTTGAAAGGACTGTTCTTTCCCTGTTGAATGGTCTTGGCATCCTTGTTAAAAATCAATTGACCATAAATGTAAAGGTTTATTTTTGGACCCTCAATTCTGTTTCATTGATCTATGTGTCTACACCAGTACCACACTGTCTTAATTACTGTAGCTTTGTAGTAAGTTTGAAATCAGGAAGTGTTTGTCTTCCAGTTTTGTTCTTTTTCATGATTGTTTTGGCTATTCAGGGTCCCTTCCATTTTCACATGAATTTTAGGATCAGCTTGCCAATTTCTGCAAAAAAGGCAGCTGGGATTTTGATAGGGGTTGTGCTGAATCTGTACATGAATCTGGGGAGTATTGCCATCTTAACGACAATAAGCCTTATGATATGTTTTTCATTTATTTAGGTCTTCTTTACTTTCTTTCAGTGATGCTTTGTACTTTTCAGTTCACAAGTCCTGCACTACTGTGGTTAAATTTAATCTGAAGTATTTTGTTCTTTTTGATACTATTGCAGATGCTAACATTTCTGGATTATGAAGTGATATACAGTTTTTGGATTGTATAGAGTTAATATATGATGTATAGTGATTTTTGTGTATTCATCTTTTTTCCTGCAACCTTACCAGGCTCGTTTATTAGTTCTAAGTGTGCATCTCTGAGTTTATCTTGCTTGAGTTCCTTGAGATTCTTGAATGTACGATTAATGTTTCTCCATCAAATTTAGGAATTTTTAGACATGATTTCTTCAAGGATTTTTCTGCCCTTTCTCTCTCTTCTCCTCTGAGATATCCTTAATGCATATGTTGGTATTTCTGATGGTGTCCCACAGGTCTCTGAGGCTCTGTTCATTTACCATTATTCTTTTTCCTTTCTGTTCC